CTCGTTGGTCGGTACACCTAATTATATAGCACCAGAGGTCCTGCAGCGCACCGGATATACGCAGCTGTGCGATTGGTGGAGCGTGGGTGTCATTCTCTACGAGATGTTGGTTGGCTCTCCACCCTTTCTAGCCAATACACCAGCAGAAACGCAGTATAAAGTTAGTTACAGATTTATTTTTTATTATGTAGAGTCAGTACTTTTCTACGAGAATTGTCAAATATTTCATTTTGTTTTATACATCGAACTTGTACAGCTTTAAAAATGCCCATATTTTTAAACGTATTCCAATGGCTCATCAAATAAAGCTCCAGAATATTTGCACGAAAAACATTACTTAATAACGAATTAAATAATTTATATTAAATAGAATTGTGATTCATTCGGGATTGTTTTGAGGTGCGCGATGATGACAAATTAACTATGACAAATTTTTTAACGCCAAACTTAATTATTGAGTAGCACAAGATATAATAAATGAAAGAAAACTTAAACAATTACAATTTGCCCGGTGTAAGTTTATTGGTTTTTGAATATTATGAGCAACTAGAATTATTTGAGAATAATAAAACTAAATATACAGCTCATCATTTTATTAAATTTCAAATAAAAATATGAGGGATTTTGTAATTAATAGTGGAAAAAAATTTTTAGGTAATAAACTGGGAAACGACTCTGCACATCCCTAAGCAGGCGAACCTTTCGCCCGAGGGCAAAGATCTGATTCTCAAATTATGCGTGGGTGCGGATCGACGGTTAGGCAAAAACGCCGACGAAGTCAAGTCCCATCCGTTTTTTGCCAGTATCGATTTTGAAAAAGGGTTGCGCCGTCAGGTGGCGCCGCACATACCGCGCATCCAATATCCAACGGATACAAGTAATTTTGATCCTGTTGATCCCGATAAGCTGAGAAACTCGGAATCTTCGGATTCAAATAAATCCGACGAATTGCTCGACAATGGCAAGCCCTTCCACGGCTTCTTCGAGTTTACGTTTAGGCGCTTTTTTGATGACGGCGGTGGGCCCGCCTATCCTAGTCGAATCAGCCTGGACGACAATGATAATCAAGGGCCTGTTTATGTATGACATTAGGTCACGTGGCGCGTATTTATTGATATGCCCATTCTCGATGTAGGTTTATTATTATTTTTTTTTTTCTTTTTTGTATTAAAAATAGTCTGTTGTTGCGGAAAATAGCCCGTAGATGGGACGATTTCATTGAGAAGAATTCAATGGAGTTGATGTAAGCCGATTGTAAAGGGATATAATGTTAATGAGCATATGACCTCGTAACTGTTTTGTAATATATTGTACAAAATTAAAAGGTTCTATGAGATTTAATTATATAATTGATAAAAAAAAAAAAAAATCTTAAATAAGTTTTAAAAGGGTGCCTTTGCATGAAAATTTATTAAATATATTTGTGATATTGTAGAGATATTTATACCGATTTTTATTTATTAATTATTAAGCTTCACCAACAATTATTTTTATTTGAATAATTAGAACTTCTAAAAAATATAAAGAGCTTTAAATTTAGTTACGTATAAGTGATATTTTTATTATTGAAATGATAATGAGTAATGATTAATAAGAATTTAACTTTTCGTAATTACATAATTGTTACTGCAATTTCCAGCTTGATTCTAAAGTAAAATTAATCCTCAATTACCCATTGAATTTTTATAATGTTCGATCAATTCCTCAAGTAATAATTAATAAAGTATATATGGCAAAAGTGCTATCAGTAATCGCAAAAACCAAGGTCACAATACAAAAAATCTATCGATTAGAATAAAATGTTAATGATAAATACGTTTTACTTATCCATTTCGAAGAATTATATAGCGTTCAATAAAAAAGGAAAAATTTATTTAATAATATACTAAAATCTATTGACATTTGGTTATTAACTATTGTTTGATGATAAGAAATTGTAATTTAGAAAAAGAATTCTATTTAAACTCTTACGTAAGGTCTTTTTAAGTATAAGATTTCAATGTTTGGCTGTATATTTTCATAGAATCATACTAGATTTAGTTGAAATAATCAAGAATTAAACTTGGATTTAATTTTATTAATAGCAACCGAATCTCGTAGAATCTTGTATTTGATCTGCTTATTAAATATAGATTAACAAAAATAATTTTTAAATGAGTTTCAATGAAATCGTTAAATCTAGGGATTACGTACGAATACTCGGATGGTGAAGACATTTTTTTTTTTTTTTTTTTTTTTTTTTTTTTATATAGAAAAAAGGTGTGTGTAATGAAAGCAAAAGAGGAAGAAAACAAAGATCTATTCAAAAGAATAACGAATGATTCCATGCGCGGAATGAAAATCTATTGAAACAACTAGGGGAAAAAAACTCATGAGACTTGAAAATTGGGTCAGATTTAAACGTATCGGCTACCAGCCTTTGCTGAAAACGTTCGATTATATATTACTTTCCTTCAGAAACACTTTAGCTTGCCATTTTTTCATTTATTTAGATCGGATTTGAATCGGAAAGAAATAGCGTGTGAATTTTTTTCTTTCTTTTTTTTTTAAGTATGTTTCAGCAAGTACTGTGATATTGCAAGATAATAGCATATAATCTGGCTTATATTAATTATATTATTTGTAATTTTTTTTTTCTTTTTTTTTTTTTTTTTTGGAACAATTTAGACATTCTTAATATTGGTAATTAATTTAGTTTCATAATTTCGAGAGGATCTATGGACTAATGTCATTCGTTTTCTTTACATAATTATAAACCTAATCAGTCCTATTTAATATTTTCCTTTTATATCAAATGCTGGATTCACCTATAATATTATACGACATAATATTGTATTCTACTGTATTATTATTATTATTATTATTATTATTATTATTATTATTATTATTATTATTATTATTATTTTTTTTTTTTTTTTTTAATTTAATATTAATATTATTGATTTCATTATCATCGTTATTATTGCGTTCACAATTGTCATCTTATCATTGTATCGTTATCATTCTTCTTTGTATAAATTTTGTGAATGGATGTAATGTGTTCATTGCATATTGCGTTATGCAGCTTTTTTTAAACATTCACTTCCCTTTTCTCGTAAACACCTACTTGACCCGCACTATGCAATATAACTATTTATATTTGTGCATGCGTACGCTTCCGCTCATTTACATTGATGATTATACCCGGTCCCAAACCAACACAATACATATAAACCACATACATACGAGCCTACGCGCGCGCGTGCAATGCACTTGTAAGTGTGATGTAGTATTACATTGGTAGATCATTCGTTTAAGATACAACTTCATACAGTAAGAGGAAGAGAAGTGATAGTTGATTTCATAGTTTTAGACTATTAATTAAATTATATTGTTGCAATACTTATTTATTGAAACAAATATGTAAAAAGCATTGAAGCGATTGCATGTTAAGCATTAAATGAAGAGTCTACGTATACATTTACAGTTTTTGATTCTAAGCATATCATGCAACAAAGAACATTTTTAACAATTAGTCCTAGTTTATTTAAGTGCAGGTTTGCCCGTTTATCGCGCAGTGATTTATCTTTATTTTTCTTTGTTGTCGCTGGCTCATTTATTTTTAATTCATCAAATTTTTATCAAAGAGAATCACTCATGATGATTACGTGTCGTGTGCACATGAAATGTGTACCGCTCGAAATTATATGTAAATTACAGAATAAGATGGAAATTAAAAGAACGTTAATTCGGATTAACGTACATGTGTGTCCAACGAAAAAATATGTCAAGTGCCTTCAAAGTTTTTATCGAAAGGTCACACGTTATGTTTTAGGTGAAATTTAGATATATTATTTTCGGTAGCAATTGGAAGCGCTCTTGTAAAAAAAACGAGATGTTGAATTTTTATCATTTGTATGTACTATGTACAAAAAGCAAAAACATGGAGTATTCTATGCCTAAATATATTTTATATGTATCTACACACATACGCATACATGCGCATACACGCATACACAGAGAGAGAGAGCGAGAGAGAGAGAGAGAGAGAGAGAGAGAGAGAATATACAAACACACATTATGTATATATAAACTATGTAAATGTACGAAATTATCGGAACGAAACGGTAATTGTTGAAAGATTTGTTGTTTTTTTTTTTTTTTTTTTTTTTTCTCATACTGCTCGATATGAAACAAACGAAATAGAAAATAGAAAGGTGCGAAATACTAATTAATATAAAAAACAGCAAAATCGTGCAAAGATTTGAATATTAAGTCTCGATTAACTTAAATAATTCGTAAAAATTGTAGCCGAATGGTGGTCCGGTAAAGAACTGCAAATAATCGTATCAAGTTATATTTGATATAGTATTGAAGGATCCTGCATTTATATTGTTCATTTGATTGAGTATCAAAGTGTCAAGTCTCGTCAATTATTCGATGTTTTCAATTTTGTTTCGAGGAGAGGATATTTGTTCTCAGGATTAAAGAGAAAAAATAACGAACAAATGCCGTAGCTGCCTTATAAATAAATTGAAATTTCGTAGTATTTTTTAATTTGTTAAAATTTTATATACTGCGAAATCGTAACTTTCGCATTGGTAAATAGATGTTTTGAAGCAAAGCAGTGAAACGCATTGAGTTTTGTTCCCCCCCCCCCAACCACAACCCCCACTGCCAATATCATAATTAAGGCGGGTAAAACTTTATTTATAATAGTGAAATTAAGGAGGGTAAAACTTTCTTTATAATAGTAAAATAATGATTTCGAATGGATAGATTTTCTCTGGTATATGTAAAATAATTTTAAGAATTGCTTAATACGTTATACTGCTTTGTTTTTGCAAACTTCACGAAGAAGAAAGAGAATAAATATAAATGAGAGAGAGAGAGAGAGAGAGAGAGAGAGTAAGATCGAGATCTGTTTTATGTTATATGAAATAAATGAAAAACAAAATAACCGATACGTTGTTGCGAAGCGAAAAGTCGATTCAATTTACGTGTACATTTTGTAATATCTCCTTCTCAATTGTAATTAATGCAAAACAAACGGTAGCGAGAGGTTAGCGTGAATTAAGCTTAGTTTTTTAAGGCACTATAATATATTACCGAACTTGTGTAAATATTTTGGATGAGTGTTCTAAATTAAAAGTATGTTCAATGCTTAAATTTGTTGTTCTCATTTACAATTTATCCTGTTTTTTTTCTCTTTTTTTTTTTTTTTTTTTTTTTTTTTTTTTTTTTTTTTTTTTTGTTTTGCATCTAATTTAATACCAATACTAATTTACTATAATCAATAATACTCTGTAGAAATTAATCTTATATAACAAATGTAGATATGCGATATTAAAGACCTTATAATATTCGTTGCAAAATGTAAGAGTCGATTGTCTATGACTATTTTTTTTAAATTAAAATATGAATCATTTTCTCACTCTCCAAAAGATAATACATACGTTTTAATACTTTGGAGCCGATCAAGCTGAAGCTGACTAAAGTATAAAAATTAGTTTACTTTTGCATGTTTATATAGTTGAAAGATTGAAGTGTTTTAATTTAAAAATTAAATAAAATTTTTGGAATAACTACTTTATTCAAATGCTAATGAGATGATTATTAATGAGAGATATTGAAAAAATAAATAAGTCATAAAAGAGTATTTTTTTAAATAAAATCTTGAAGAAAGTAATTTTGTAATAAATAAATTTTCAATGATTAGTATTAATGACAATATAGATATTCAATTTAATAACATATATGTTTTTTATGTTAAACATTCAAGTTTAATAATTTGTAAAATCTTATTAAAAAATAATTCAGAATTGAATTACATTAAATAATTACTATATGAATTTAGTCGCGCGCACACACACACACACACACACACACACACACACAAATTGCAATGCCGAATAAAAATTTTTGTATGTAAAAACATTTATGGAAGGGTATTTTTTACCCTTATATTGAAAATAAATGAGGCTTCCTATTGAAAGGAAAACTGTTTGCACATATTTAAGCTAAATATAATAGGAGATAATGACGATAAAGGGTATGTTTAATTAATAGAGCACAATTTGTGCATTTATAGGGAATTTTTAATGCTATTTAATATAAAGTAAAGGAAGGAGAAAAATATGAAATACTGAATAATTGAGATTCAAACTTCTTTCAACGATAATAAATTAAAATTTGTATTCTGTATAAATTTACGAAATATTTTCAAAACTTCAAAACTTAAACAAAACCGAATATTTCCCTTAATATTTTTCAGATATGTATTTATCTGCAATGACGTATATACAAATAAATAAATAAATAAATAAATATATATATATATATATAAATATATATAAATACATTAAAAGTTTAAATAATGAACTTTTATCATTAAAAGTTATGTAAAGTTGATATTCAATTGCCATTTGAATGACTGCGCGTTTAAAAAAAACAGATACGGCGCAGATAATATGCCATGTGACATGCAGACGACACACCTTGACTTTTACACATCATTCATTATCATTTGGTAAAATCATTTTTCTGTTCGTATGCAAGTGTATCGTAGTTTATCGTACTATTATTCCTTATTTGTATTTGTTGACGACTTTGCAATATTAAGAAATTACAAAATTATAAAAAATGAATCGATTAAAAAAATTAATAAACAGCAAGGAAACTCGTGATTATTTTATGAGGTAAAGCTAATGTTATATTTTATTTATATAACTATTGAATAAAATTTTCAATTTCATTTAATGTTCTCCCCCATTCTTCATTTCAACAGCACACATTTTTGGGGTCCAGCTGCTAATTGGTTAATTCCAATCGCCGCTATATCTGATATTAAAAAAGATCCTAAATTTATTAGTGGGAAGATGACTTTTGGTATGTATATTTGTCACTAGTCCTATATGCATATTTTATAAATAAACTCGTTACTAAACATTAATCATTTTGTTTCAGCTTTGTGTCTATATTCAATGATGTTCATGAGATTCGCAATCAAAGTTCAACCACGTAACCTTCTACTTTTTGCTTGTCACTTTACTAACGAGGGTGCACAACTAACGCAAGCATACAGATATATAGAGTACAGTCGCTCGAATAAAAAAGATAAAAATTAATGTAATAGTTGCAATATATCTGTTGTTAAAGAATTAACAGAAAATCGCTGCATTGAAGACTAATACAGCGAAACCATGTAACAGAAAATGCAGTTTAACACTCATCGATCATTCTCTACTTGTCTTTGAGACTTAAAGAAAAAGAAAAAGAAGAAAAAAAAAATCAATGACGTTTTATATATAATTTTATCTATTTATGGACATATATTATATGCCAGAACATGTCCATAAATAACTATCCAGCTATCTATCTATATATATGCATGCATGTATATATATATATATGTATATATATATATATATATATATATATATATATTCGCGCATCCAACGTGCATGCGCGCATAAATAAAAATATCTGTAAATGCATATACGTGCAAATGTGCATATATAAATATTTATGGCCGCGTGCATGCGCCCGTGTTTGTGTTTGTGTGTGTGTGTGTGTGTTTGTATATACAGAATTAATTCAATGTAAATACAAAAAGACCAAAAGGTGGATGGATTAATAAGCTTTTTGGTACGATTACGAAGGTTTTCAAGCCATGAATCAATTTTATTTTTATATTATATTCGATAGTAAAACATATCTTATATGTAATATTAAATTTAAGTGTTATTTAATTCTTAAATCCAGGACTAAATACCGAAGTGAATTTGATTCATTAACATACCGAGCTCTGGCCATACCGATTTTTTCATCAAATCTTGACCTCGGTGGTTGAAGCCATTTTTTATTATTATTTTTTTTTTTATTTTTTATTTTTAAAATTCACAAATCCGAAGCACTCTTTTAAATTATCAGTTTATTTCTTCTTACACGAATAGAAATCATCTTTTTCTTTCTAACGCTGTTAAATTGTTCTCACTCACAAAGTAACATAGTGTGATTATTTGTTAAACGCTGATTGAATGCAAATATAATCATTTACAACAAAAATTTTCTATTACTGGACGTAAAATTCTTAATTCTTAATACGCTATTTTATTCGATAACCACTGCAAATGACCGACCATATTATATAAATAAAATCATTGAAACATGATCTACAAGCTTTATCAACCCTACCGTCTGATACGCTTATTCGTGAAGATTTATATCTTCGTCTTTATGATCTTGTACATTGGATCGGTCCTTTCAATTTTCTATCTACAATATCATTTAAGACGCGATCTTTTCAGACGGCGTTACGGCCAGCTCCCATAATGCAGCGCGATAAAGCCGATCGTCAGTATTATGAAATGAATGTTAGCAACGAGTCTTATAGCTGCAATTGTTTTTTTTAATCGCCAGCTACGCGAATGGGACGTGAAGACATTACTATTTTCGTAACGCGACGTTGATAAATAATTTAAGCAAAAGATGGTTTTCTCGGCTACTCAAAAGGACGTAGATAGTAACAATTACGTAGAGAATCGGTTGGCCGTCGATGCATGCCATGGTAAGTTTAAACAAACATATAAATTTTTATATTACATTATAAAGTTATTTGATTGGAGAGAAACGATTTTGGGAGTATGGTTTTGAAAGTTTGTGCACGTAGAGCTGAAGAACGGCTTTGTCGCTCGTTCCATTATGAATGAAATATTTCAAATATTTCAAACCAATGTCAAATATATTTCAATTAAAATTAAATAATACTCGATTAATTCACATTATGTCTTAATTGTTAAATCAATTTAAAAAAGAGTAAATTAAAATTTTACATTTGTTTCCTTAAAAGTTTGCAGTTCATTTTTTTTTTTTAAACAAAAAAAATTTTTATTTATATCTCCAAGCTTAATACAATTTGTGTATGCGATATTACTTGTGACAAATATTTTTAAAATATAAAAAATCTACAAGATGTATATATTTTTTTGTTTTACATTAACTAATTGCCAAAAATTCTCACCCCAATTAAATGTAAGAAAATAAAAATTAAATATCAATATTTTATGTACATACACACATGTATATATATATATATATATATATACATATATATATATTTATTTTTATTTACTAGAATATAGGACGCATATATATCGTTTTTTCTTCTTCTTTATTTCAATGTAAAATTTATATTATTTAATACAAAATGTAAAAAAAAGTGTCAATAGTATAGTACACTTTTACAATGGACGGAAGGTCTATATATATATATATATATATATATATTTTTTTATATATAATAATACAATCTCTTAGTTTAATACTAGTACATAGTGTCGACAAATAACCTCCTAAAATGAAAAAGAAAACAAAATAAGGATATCCCTGAGATTCTCGGTTCTTTTTTTTATATACATAAAGTAATATTTTCGAAATTTGCAACAATAATAAGCAGATGAATAATTTTATGAATATTTAAAACAAAATATTAAGCTAGTTTTTGCTTTATATTTTTATTATATAAATTTTGTATTAAATTTATTGTTCTATTTGAGTTAAGTCATGTTTTTTGTAATCTACTTTCAAAAATACATAATAAAAATTATGTAAATAAATTATTTAGACACCATATATTAGATACATACGAGTACTTGTCTTATACTACATATATCGATTGAAATGATAAACGACTAAATATTTTAATCTTGCATTTGTACATTATTGAATTGTATAAACGCACTTGTGTAGTTATAAGCAATGTCTATTTATATGAAAATAGAGTTTTGATCTCATCGATAGTTTGCTTTTTCAATATTCCAATCCTTCTCAAAAAGTGGCACGAGTTGGCAATAAGTCTTTTTAAAGATTGTAAAATATATTAATTGTAACATATACATTATTCATTCAACTTTTCATGTCTTAATTCATACAAATAGACACTTTCTAAATAAAATATCTACATGTAAACTACACAACAAGGCAGTTTAAATGTTTCACAATATACTAAAATTAAGCAAATATAAAAATTTGTATATAGAATACTATTCTTATGGACGGAGATAAGAAGTCTAAAGTGACTTTGAGATTCAATCAAAATCTGTCTTGTATTTGGCTGGAATTAATAAAATCTTATCTAATTAAATGTGATATCGTGTAAATCTTACGTTCAAATAATAAAGATTTGTTTTAATGTTATAAAATTTGGTTCGCTAACAATTATCTTCGGTTGTATGGGAAAAATAGTGTTACGGTAATTAGAAGCAAGACCCAGCTAAATTGTATCGAAGCAGCACCTGCCAGACGACATTTATATATGTCATACCTAGAAAAAAAATATATGTTAATAATAATAAAATTCTATATAAAATAATTACAAATTATTATTATTAGTTTAACAATTTTTTTTTAATTTTTTGTTATTTGTTTAACCAATATGTCTTATTTTAAAAGACTATTGTAATCTAAAATCTTATTGCTTTATGATGATGTTCATCAATATTATTAATTAATGCTAAGCGGTGATATCATACTACAATCATTATATGATATTCGATTTAAGTTTTTCGAATTAAAAAATCTTATTATTAATTCTAATAATATAATTATTTGAATGGGATGTACAAACAAATGCATAATCGTATATACCATATTTTTACAATATTAATGCCAACTGATTAAGCGTAAAAAAAAAAATTGTTTATATTATGAAAGAGTAGCCATAGTAATAATTATCGTAACCCAAATATTCTTAAAAAATAAAATAAGAATTTAATTGAGCAATAATAGCAACGAAAAAATATAGTTTAATGAATTGTCGGATGATAAAAGTGCTTTTATCATTGACACTGCTCTTGACCGAGATTTATCGATACTATTAAACGTCGTGTGCATGTGTTTGTTCCTAATGCAAAATAATGTGATACTGGCGCATCAAATTCCCGATTGCTGCACGCTATACTTACAATATATAATAATGATTAAATTATTAAATGATGAGTATTAAATTTATGTAAATTATGTCTTTTTGTTGCTTATGCTCTTAATTTTTACGACAATTATAGTTGCTATTTCTTTTACGAGTATCACATTTAAATCCACAATTATTGATAGTATTATCGAAAAGAAAAGTATCTTACGTAATTTGATTAAATGTTTTGAAATAAAAAAAAAAAAAAAAAAAAAAAAAAAAAAAAAAATAAATAAATATAAATAAATAAATTGCATAATATAGGGCAACCGTTGTAATTTGACGTGGACTGATATTACGAATAATAAAAGTAACGACTCGTTCGAAAATTGACCAATATACACACAATTTCATAATTAACTTTTGAGAGTATTCAAAATAAATAGTTTTCCTTATTCATATTTAAATTTGACAATAATATACATCGCTATAAAAATATATATAAACTTAAAGTAAAAAACGGTAGGAAATAGTAGTAATAGAGTAAATTTAATTTCGTTTATCCATGCATATCCATGCATATTTAAATTCGGATATTTGAAATTTCGAATAAAATATTTATATTCGATGTGCGATACGGGTTAAATTGTCTTTGAACATTGGAAAATAATGATTTTAGATAGTTATGTAAGAATATATTCTTCCATTAAGAAGAAAAACTAGTTATTCCATACGTCGAGCTTGGAATCGTCTTTTTATCATATATATATATTTTTTTTTTCTTTTAAATATCATTTTTTTTATGTTAAATAAATATGTAATTGCGAATGGAATTTTAAATTTACTCTCACTTAATGAGAATAAATGCGTGCGTAAGCTATACAGAGTTAGCAGCTCGGAGCTTAAACGACTCGCTCGAGGAGATTCGGGAGCATTTTCCTCTCGACTATTGTCGTATAAAAGCAACGGATGGCTTACCTCGTCAGCTTATCGTCAACGATGTTATTAAACTCAGCCTCGACCAATTGCCCGTCATAATACGTAATCAGATCCTCTAGCGGATATTCGTATCCTTGTTTGCACTCGCACTTGTAGCCGCCGCTGTCGAATCCACGTCCCAATATGGGTACGCACTGCTCGATAAATAAAAAAGGAATAAGGAATAGATAATAGATGATAAAAACGATTAATGGTATCGCTTAAGTCTCTATCATGGTTTTCCCGCGCCCAAACAACGTCGCCCGCCATTAATTACGTACGTACGAGGGACGTTCTCCGTCTCGCTTATATGACGAGACCTCGTGGACAATTAGAGCATACGCGCGTCTTCTTATATTAAGAGAAATACGATGAGGTGTCAGGGGCACGGGAATGAAGGGAAAGAAGCGAAAAAATAATAAAAAAGTGATGGAAGGAACTCACGTATGAGGATTTTTTGTCGCACTTGTGCGTCCCCTTAAATGCGTTGGGAACATTGAATTTATCGTCGCATTGGTTGATATCCAGCTGTAGCAAGTCCATGGTCACGGTTACGACACCCCTGTATATAAGTGTCTTAATGTTAAATATGATCTTCCTTTAACCTCCCTCCCACCCTCCTTTTGGTCATCGCATAGAGAGGGAGGGAGAGAGAGAGAGAGAGATAGAGATAGAGATAGTCGAGGTACAAAGTTCAAATGAAACAGGTTCCTCGGTCCAACTATCTCACACTCGGGTGAGCGGGACGCGCGCACGCGCACATGCATACTCACTTGAATTCCAGTTTGTCTTTGAGACTGTCCCAGCCGAAAAAGGGGGATGCATAGGTAATTAACCATTTCTTCACTTTGCCGTTACAATCGAAGTAAGGGACGGTCCAGTAGCCGTGGTTCAGGTTTGCTGCCCTACACATAGACAATACACAAGATTGAAAAGGAAGAGGATAGCAATGACGATGAAGACGAGGAGGAGACGGTCGACCCGCCCCATCCGCAAGCGCATTAAAATAAATAACACGTAGAACGCAGATAACCCCCCGCGAACAGCATCCTCTGTTATTTTTTCTTCTTCCTCTTTTTCTTTTTCCTCTTCTTCTTCTTCTTCTTCTTCTTCTTCTTCTTCTTCTTTTTCTTCACTATCCTTTATCGCTCGCTCTTTTTTCATCTTGTCGTTGACGCCTCTGCGGCGAGGCTTCCTCTATCTGCAGAGAGTTATGTGGGAAAATTCGAAACGCTCTTTTGAGCGTTGAGATATACTAAAGGGGGAGAGTAATGGAGCGAACGATAGAGGGTGCGTGAGAGAGTAAGGGAGGAGAGAGAGCTCCGATGTTTTTATTTCGGTGAAAAATTTATGAAAGAGCCGTAAACATGACGAAAGAGAGGAGGGCCTTGCCAACTTACCTGTAGTAGGTTGGGTAATGCTCGTATTTTTTCAAAGATTCCCCGGTCTCGTTGTAGCGCACCATCATTTTTAAAAAGTATTTCTCAAGATCGTCGTGATTTGCACTCCAACGGTTTTTCAGCAATTGGAACCACTCGTTCTTCATATAAATTTCTTCTATAATTCATGCATATGTATTATATATATATATATATATATATATATATATATATATATATTATGCGCGTAGTTAATTGTGCTTATCGCATAAATGCTTTTGTATAATATACCAAATTTTAATCTACGCGATTTAATTTTATTTAAAATATTAATTGACAATTCGAATTGTAATAGGGAAAATTTTTAATTTAAACGCGTGCTGTCTAATCGCCAAAATTAAAACCATTATTACATAAGTATTCCAGTATTTTTCTTTATCTTTTTCTCCCTCAACTTTACGTAATATCGCGTTCTACAATTTTTAATGCTAAAATATTGAAGATCCGAGGTTAAAAGTATAAGATATTGGCTGGGAATTTTAAAATTCTTTCTTCGGGCACAAAGTTGCATGTACTTTTGCATAAAAATAAAGCGAAAAATAAAGCGAAAAATAAAGGCAACGTAACGTAAATTAACATAACAATTAATGAAATTTGAAAGAGCGGCTGTATTTCTGAAAGAGAATAGATTAAAGAAACATCTGTCACCTGTGGTATTAAGTCTTGCCAAGTCTTCGACTTTAAGCTTAAGTGCGTTACGCTCCTCCTTATATGCGTAAGGAGCGAAAAATGTTCGGTTAGTGAATTTGTTGCGATCCCAAAAGATGCCGGCCGACCAAATTCTTGCATTACCGAATAATAGCGCCACGACTTCCGCGATCATTTGGTCTTCGTTCAAGGGTTTGTCGGCTATACGTTTGCCAGAATACACTTCTTCCGGATCGGATATCTGTAGAAATGAACTGATAAAATTTGACAATCTGGCCGCCATTTTCGCTTCATTTTCATAGAATTCGTCAGCCCCAAATCCTACGTCGCCAGGAAGTCTTAATTGTTCCTGCGTGTATCTGAATTGAAATACAAGCTTATTAATGTTGCTAGCACGGTTCGTTAAATTTAATTTTAAGCAATGAATTGTAGCGTGCAAAGAACTATAATTAAACATAATGTATGAAAAGTATGAAAATTCACATAGAGATTTTACGGACCTCTTACAGTTGCTTGGATGAACGCTGAAAATGAATTTTAAAACCTGATCAACGTTCATTTTGTCGTCGTGCAGAGAATCCGGCCCGATCGAATGATTTTTATATTCATAATATTGCTCGAGATATTTCGCTCTCGTGTAATTCGATGCTTTTGTTAGTTCAGCTGGTCTCTTCTGAATCCCTAAAGCAATAAAGATAATTTAAATTTTTCTCCTCTCATTCTTTCTTTCTCTCTTTCTTTCCTTCTTTCTTTCCTTCTTTCTTTCTTTCTTTCTTTCTTTCTTTCTTTCCATCTTTCTCTCTTTTTCTCATTTAATTTGCCATGTTCAATGATTTTTAATTTAATCTTAATAAAAGAAAATTTATATTTACAGCCAATTTTCGAACAATCAAAGCCATTGTAATATTGTTCTGGCGATGCTCTTTCAATTATTTCACCAAGGTAGGGTCGTCTTACTACATAGGGCAATCGCCACCCTGGTTTACATCTGCACATGTATCCACCTCTTCTGAAGCCCCAACCGTGCAATGGTTCGCACTGTAAATGTGAAATTATATTTTATACAAACTGTACGATAACTATGCATGGAACAATTTTATTGTTTTACAATCGATATTGTAAAACATGACACAAGTTTTCCAAATCATTTTATAATTGTAAATAATTGTAATATTTAATTTACATATGTAATTTTTATTGTTTTTTTTTTCTTTTCTTTTTTTTCTTTTCCCAACCAAATTCATACCTCTGTCGTTTCCATCTTACATCGAGCAGTGTTTGCAAATTTATTTGGCCCTCTATTACCTTCTCCTTTCGGACACTGATTAATATCTATTCGATCAAAATCCATTTCCAAGACTGAAACAGCCGTATATCTGAAATTGAATAAAAATAATTAACACCCAAAAATTGTTTAATTTGATTATTTTGTACGATATTATTATAATATAATATTATTATATTACAGCATAATAATGTGAATTATTCAGTAAAAACTTACACTTATTATTATAAAAACAACTGCTCAAAATGTCTACAAAACAAATTAATTATAGATACCTTTGTGACAAAGAAATGATAAGAAGACTAAATAAACTCTATAAAGATCATCTAAAATGTGTAAATTTGTTAAATATAACTACAGCCCATCTTAATCCCTTAAGTGCTTTAATCATATCGTTTCATAGCATTTCACACGTGTGAGAGATATGAAAGAACATGCTTGACTGGTATAGCCTACACCCTCTTGGAGCGTTTCAAAGAGATTCGAATAAATTATAATAATAATGGATTGGCTATCACCCCTTAATATCTATCCGTGCATTCTCCAAACAATGCAGTATTTTTTTTTTTTTTTTTTTTTTAAATATTTAGTCTGGTGCAAGCAGTTGCATAGTTGCATCAATGCTTCCTTAATGGAAAAATCTTACCTTGGTATTTCAATGTGCCGGAATCCAGTATAGCGAGGATACAGATCTACGATTGGAACAACTGCTGCGAAAAGCCAACGGTTCGAACGGCCACAATCAAAGTAGGGTCTTATCCACTTCACAGGTCCATCCTCCTCGTGAGCACCTGATATTCAAATTTATTTCATTATTTCAGTTTAAAAAATTTTTTACAGCAATTTTAAATAATTTTTATAATTTGCCTCGAGGTCCATGGAACGTGTGAGTGATATTTGTATTGTTCGCATATCTGATTTCCACTTGGTAGGTGATTTTTGTATCGTGTCTCGTTGGATCATCCGGTAACCATTTCTTATACCTATTAAAAATTGAAAACCATTAAAATCTATTGTTTACAACAATAGATAAGTGCCTTTCATTTCTAATTTTAGCATTGAAATATTATTATTAATTGTAATAGAGTTTAAGTTAGTAATAATATTATAGCTAAGGTTATGGTTGGTTTTCCATTATGATTTCTATTAGAACATGCGTATACCATTCGTTAATTCTGTAATACTCGGTCGTATAATCCTTGCTGAGCTGGCTAACTGGAAAAGCACCCAGATCTTGAATAGTGAAGGTATTTCTAGTAGATATTCTCTCAAGATGGACAGGATCGTTAAAATCATCAGCCCTGAAAGTTCTAGGTGCAAATCTGGGCATAGTTTTATTGAAGAATCCTCTATAAGATGAAGAGAAGGACATGTTGGGAGAAAAATATATGGCTGATGCATTGATGTATGGATTGGCTGAAACATCGGCTACTGTTGAGAGGAAATAATACATCATGCCAGGATCGTAAGTGTCATTAATAGGTGGCTTATAGTTCCTTGATTGAAGTATGTAACTCCAATAGAAACTCCTGGTGAGGGCCATATTATGCAGGTGTATCAGAGCAGTTCTGTTGGGAAAAATAGGATTGATGTTGACCTCTTTGATGTCCGGTAGGTGGGAGACGCTGTCCATTGACAAGTAGAGATCGTCTAAATGCTGAATTTGGCAATTATCCATATTAACTTTGTCCATTTTATGGCGTATCTCATCAAAGGCATCGCGTGCCAACCAATCTGGAGGCACCTGATCGCCGAACGTCTCGTAGTAGTCCTTTTTGTCATTCTGGTCCGCGACTACGCCCAACAAGTAGAAAGCGACGAACGCCGCCACCACAATAACCTGCGATCCATTCATTCTACTTTGTCGGTGGTCCCACGCACTGGAACGATATAAGCAATTACTTTCTAACGCCTTTGCATTATAGATGTCTAGAAGTATTTTTTTTGGAAATCCAGTGGTCGTCGATGGTAAAGCAAGGCACTTGGGTTGTAAGCGTGAGCGATACGGGCAACCGCCCAACGTACGAATCCACGCGCCTCTACGAGTGGATACAGAGTGAGATAGATAGAGAAACAAACACGCCCATAAAGAGGAATGTTAAGCCGATTTCACACTGCAGCGTGTCTAGTGAATTAGGCACTAAAATTAGATATAACCACATACGTGATCTATTGTATTGTTTTTCAAGTTACATTTCTCTCTCTCCCTCTCTCCCTCTCTCCCTCTCTCTCTTCACCCCGCCACCACGCACTCGTCTCGCATAAACACGCTCGCACAAACACATGCATTGCTAATTAAAATCGTACTTTTCAATCAATCAAACAGAGATAGACGCGCAGCGGCAATTCGAAAATATTTTCAGATCGGTTAACAAATTTCATTTTTATAAACGTTAAATTTAAGTAGCTAAAGAAATGGTTTATCTGCATTTAAAATTACAACACTTTAATTACGTTGAGTACATGGAAGAATGTCTATAAATTATTAATATTATAATATTTACTGTCACACTTTTAATAATACAAGAAAAATAAATGTTGGCATTTAAGAGGGAGGATCTAATGGAAAAAAAAAAAAAAAAAAAAAAAAAAAAAAAAAAAAGAAATAAGTACTAATATAAGAACTGAGTGGGTACGAGTTTCATAAATAAATTAAACTAATTTAATATTTAATCTAACGAATATAGTCTTAAATTAGTACTATACGATATTTAAATTTCCTTTAAAACGAAAAGATTTTTACAATATATTATTTATATATTTCATGCAATTGCTCGAATTCAAGTTCTAGACTGACTGTTGTTCAACAAAATCTATAACAATAATAAGATGAAAAAACTTTGCTCACAAATGACAAACATTGAAATGTAAAAATTGAAATTATAATCATTATACCTTGCACACGTTAATTAATTTTTATTTTCCCATTGCATACATTCAATCCATATTAAATATTAAAATTTCCTAATATTTCCATTTAATTTAATATAAATTTATATAATTTTAACTATGATTCCCAATTATTGGTATTCTTATTAAATGGTAGCTTTAATTTTATTGTTTCCAGTCCAAAATGAATATTTTCATTTGAGCAACAAAATAAATTATACTTAAGTATCAAATAGCGGTTAAATAATAGTTTAGAATTACAGAATACGAATCCTTAAATTTAGATCAGCCTAAGAGATGTAATGTTAGGTAGGTATATTTTCATCATACGTGAGAATTTGCTTTATTTAAGTATTCCCTATGCTTAATTACCAATAATTAGTGGGAATATACCTATTTAAGTCTACAGATATTTTGAAGTATACAAGTTCTGCTGTATTTCCGAAAAACCAACTATTACTGTAAACACGTCTTGAATAATTGAGAAATATCGTATTGAGCCAGTCAGTAATTTATTTATAAATTTCTTATTTATACAAATTATGATTAATTTAAATAGTAAAAATTTTTTAATAATTTTTTGTAAATATAATAATCAATCTTATGATTAGAATAAATACAAACAACGTTTTAATAGCATGAGAATGTTATCTAAACTTCGTTAACTTGTTCCAATTATATATAATCTATGTTACATTAATATCTTTATAAAAGTATTACTTTTAAAATATAATTCTTATGATTTAATTTTTAATTAAAATTCTATTTTTATTATTATATTATTGAAATTAATATTTATAAAGAATATTGTATCGAACAGTTTATTTCAGTGAATATGTATATTTTAAATGTTTTCAATGTAAAAGATAATCTGATTTGAATGAAAATACATTGATAAATAGAAAAAAAAAATTCTTACACCCATTTAAACATTCCTAAAAATTATAGTTTTTTCAATTAATTTGTAAAAACGCAATTAAATTATTAAATGCGTTATGTGTGAAAAAATATGTAATGAAGTATAGGAAACAATAATTTGAAGTAAAAAATAAAAAATATTCATAAATTTATATATACTTATATAATTGCATAATTATTAATGTACATCCTATAAAAATCAGAGTTTCTGAAACAATTGATTTGAAAACTGAATACGTTAATTTTTTTTTTTATTTTTTTTTTTTTTTTTTTTTTTTTAAAACATTTTTTTTTTTTTTTTTTTTTTTTTTTTTTTGTTAAAACATATTTTTTTGTGTCGTTGCATTGTTTCAATTTTTTTTTTTGCCGAATGTAATTTTATGCCTCGCATCTACCGGCAAAGTAAGCATTCATTACAAGAACTTGTTTGATCAATAATGGAAATCGTTCGAACATAAATGTAATTAACTATTTATTATCAGTTACCAATTATAGATTATTGTATAAATTTTTCGATATGAATAAAATTATAATAGCATTTGAATTTAAATTACTGACAAAGAAAAATTAATTGATTGTTAAAAAAAAAAAATATAATAACGAAGGTTTATAATTTAATACAGTAAGAGATATTTATATATATATATATATATATATATATATTGTATTTAGCTTCATCGGATGATCAATAAATTAAACAGCTATTAAATTATGTTGCCTTACAGCCAATAATTATCCAAACGTTGAATTTAAATTCTTTTTAATCGCACTAGCTTTTACATTCGACAATTTCATTTATTGTAATTTCAATAATGGTTTTATAGAAGAAAATAATGTTTGTAAAATGGTATTATCGAACCTAGTGAATAACAATTACATTAAATTTCTAAACCTTAAATTTTGGAAGAGATAATTATATTAAAAATTCAAATCTTTACGTTATGAAGTTTGCATTCCTTTCAATTCAAAGGAAATCAAACATCTAAACAGCTTATAACGGAATAAAAAAATATGTACTTGTAGGTGAACTTACTCTTTTAACTGAGAAAAAAAATTCAATGTTAGAAGTAGCATTATCTACTGAAATTAATTAAAAGCAGCAATATCTACTGAAAGTGTCCGGGGATAAAGGGAAAAGGCACCGAATGTTATATTGTGTGATAAGCCTAAAAGAGAGGGCGTTTAGTACGCGTACCAGTGACGTCATCATGTATTCGTGTATGCCGGGGAAAGAAAGAGGCGCGCAAGAGAGGAACGATTAAAAAGGAGGGACAGAGAGAAACAGAGTGGAGAGAGAGAGAGAGAGAGAGAAGAGACGAGAGAGTGCGGTAGCGTCGTCCATACATTTCCTAAGGGAGAGCATGGAAATTGCCGAAAGCCCGGAGCTCTGAAGCACCCGCACAATTTCATACGCGCATTTACTTAATATTGTCTTTTTGGTTTTCCTTCTCTACGCTCCTTTAACACGGTGAAAGTATAGGCGATAGGCGCACGTTTGTTCCCATATCAACGAAAGGACTTTTTTTTGTCGATCGAGAACGATCGACTTTCCTTCTCACTTATCAGGTATTTTATTTTGTTTTTTAATTTTTGACGTTAACCTTTCATTTCTCCGTTGTTTTATCATTCATTATTTATTTGTTTATTTATTTTCTTATTTATTTTAATGACAATGATATATGCAAACGCGCGACTACACTCTCATCGGAGCGAGACCAAAATCCAATGATAAGATATGTGGTTTTGGCTTTTTCGCATTCGCGAAAAAATGAGGTTAAGTTTCGCAAAGACAGAGAGAGATCCGCCATCCGGATAGGTTATAATTTCCGCCTGAGGATGTTCCTCATTGGTGGCGAATTAAATGAGCGAACATTTTTGCACGAGCGAGTGAGCGCCGGTGTAATGTACAGGCGCTTTTTTTTCACAAACGGAAATCGAAAACGTGGTATCAATTATTCAAGGCTTCACAACGCCCATGTAGATATACTTTCGTATTCAGATTTTCTTTTCAATTAATCAATTACGTACAGTTTCTTCTATTATTGATATGTTTATTATATATTTTACTTATCCCGTGAATGATTACGAGAATATAGGCTATATTCATGGTTCGGTTCCTTCATTTTATTGCTTATGTTGCAAGCACGTGATTTTATAGTTTTTTGTATTTTTTTTTATTTATTTATTTTTTTTTTTTTATTTCGGAATTAAATTTATTGGATTTAATAATTAATTGATGAACGCCGTGAAAAAAAAAAACAACAACTTTATTAATATCAATCATTTTTATAATAACCGTACATTATGAGTTTATTATAATGAAAATTTATTATTCTCAAATGATATAATACTTCATTACTCATTACAATATTTATATTATTTAAATGATTATGATCATTTATTAATTTACTTTTATTTATTTGCTAGATTTTTTTCAATAATAACTAACTTCGGACTTTTGTTTCAATTTTGTTTTATTAACAATTTCCTTACTTGCCTATTGTCATACATTTGTTTAATGTTAGGATATAATTTATTGATATACAGTTGAAAATGAAACCCAATACATTCAAATAAAGGATTAAAATAATGAAGTTTAATAACTGATGTTATTATTGTATACACAACATATTCTCTATGAAGATTTCGAACTAACTTGTGATGAAGAATAAGCGATTATTGATTTAAACATTTATTCGTTATAGATTTAGCCAATCGTTATAGCGTTCATAAAGAAAAATTCAAAGGTTTTCATAGATTTATAAGATTTTTAATAAAAACAGTTTTTACAAAGATTTTCAAAGTATTAGATTTTAACGATTTGTAATTTCATTTATTTACTTTTATTATAAAATTTTATAAATTGATGCTGGTTCATATTATTAAAATTACAATTAATATTTTATAATTAAAATTGCAATTGTACAATCTGCAACAGTAATTGTATAAGTGATATTCTCGACTTTATAATTAAGTAGCAGTAATAAGAACTAACTGTAACTACGAAGAGTTACAATTATAATTAATTAAATTGAAATGTAAGCTACGGACCCTTCTTTTCTTGAAAACCTAATTGTAATTTACTAATTCCAAATTTCATATTGCGAACAAATTATATCAAAACAACATTTAAAAATAAATTAACGACAATATCAACAATAATATAAGAATGGAATAATTATTCTTTTGTTATGATGAGAGATTATTTTTTGCCAAATTTAGATGTTTTAACTTTAAATTATTTATAAAATTATAGCAACCTATCATAAGTAACGAAATATCCCGTAAAAGAAAATATATGTTCACATTCTCAAATTTCAATTAACTTTTTCTATGCTTACATTAATTAAACAAATTATCTTA